CAGAACCAAGGACATAAACCACATGATCATTTCAATAGACACAGAAAAACCACTTGACAAAATCCAACCCACATTTATAATAAAAAACCTAAGGAAATTGGAATAGAAGGTTTGAATCTCACTCTATTTCAAGAAAAAAATAGTTGAAGTTTACTGTACCATTTACTAATAACTGAAGTATTGGAATCACAAAAAAATATACATATGAGTTATCCTTACTGAGTACAGAAACATACAGAACAAAGAGAATACCTTAAAAAACAGCTTTAGTACTTTTTACACAATTTTATTTCTAAAAAGTAAACTCAAAAAATGCAATGAAGATAAAACTAAAAAATCCTCAATCCATATATTCTGTTACTCATTTAAATACTTCAACGTATGAAATTTCTGAATTGTGCATTGAATAATATATGTTGAATAAATTATTTATCATCAATTTTGAATACTTTCAGTTTTTCCCAGATAGAATTCTGCATATATATAAATATATATATGTCATTATTTACACATACATACACATACAAAATAAATCAAATTTTAAAATGTGTGGATATACACACATATATTTTTACAAGTATAAATACATGCAGATAAACAACCCAAACACATAGAGCGAACAGAAGTGAAAAACAGCTCTAGGAGGAAAACCCTAATTATAATGGAGGTAGAACTCAGACAGGTGCAATTACATGGCAAGTGAAGGTAATCCACAGAATGGATGCTTCCATCAGTGGGCCATATTGGCAGGCTGCACTTTCCCAGTAAGTCCATAGCAGTATTTCTGATCCTACACAATCTTCCACCTTTTATGAAGAGACAGGCTATTTACCTTAATTCTGAGTGTGAGTCTGTGATAGCCTTAACAATATGGTAAAAATAACATTACATGGGGCCAGGGATTTAGCTCAGTGATGCCACCTGCCTCACCAGCACAAGGTCCTAAGTTCGATCCCTAGTAACAAAACAAAAACACAAACACAGCTGGGCATGGTGGTGCACGCCTGTAATTCCAGCATTTGGGAGGCAGAGGCAGGAGGATCACCCTGAGTTTAAGGCAGTCTGAACTACACAGTGAGACCCTGTCTCAAAAAAGGAAAAAAAAAAAAGTAACACTACATGACTTCCAAATTCAGCTCAGAAAAGGCAATGTAGATACATATAATCTGGCTCCCTCTCCAAAAATGCTCACCCTTGGAAACCAGCCATTGCACTGTGAAGAAGTGTAAAGTATAGAAAAGTCATACATTAAATAGTCCCTTTAGCCCCAGCTCAGGTTTCAGGTATTAGACATATGAAGGAACATGCCTTCAGATGATTAAATCTTCCAGCTGAAGCCTGACATAATGGAGGAGATAAAAGCCATCTAGTGTGAATCCCTGAGGACATTAAATGGTTGTTTTATGCCACTAAGTTCTGCAGCCATTTATGTAAGTAATAGTAGTATTCAAGGCAGGGTTCTCTTTAGCCCTTCCTTGTCACATAGATTTCTGTTAAACAATTATACCTAAAGTAAAAGTAAAGCCAAAAATTAGAAGAAAAATATTCGTAGGTTAAAGAAATCAATCTATATAGTATGAGTACATTTTAAAGTATTTAAAGAAAACATGTTCTCACCTGTGGTGCAAAATTCTTTTAGAAAAGCAATGACTCCTATGACTGATGTTAGATATCACTGCTTGGTCATTTTCAAAGAAAACTGGGTGAATAGAAGGATGCTGGTAAACCTGGCAGCTATGCACAATGAAGGATTCTGAGATTTACTAGGATTTTTATTTTTATTTTTTTGGTTCTGGGGATTGAACTTGGGACCTTGTGCTTGTGAGGCAGGCAGCGGAACCACTGAGCTAAATCCCCAGCCCCTGAGACTTACTAGTATTAAATGAACATGGGTAAACCAAGACCAGAGCTCTCAAATCCCCAGTGAATTTGCTGGTTGCCACATACCACTGCAAAGTTGTAAGGTACATAACTGGGGAGATTTTCACATAGATTAAAACATGCACAATTTATACAAAAGTACAAGAAAGCAACTCTCACTATGAATAATTTGGATCCAAATATCCAGAGAAATAAGCGTCTTACATGTCCCACAGGCAACTTCTCACAAATACTGTTCCTCTTACATAAGTTTTTTGATGACCTGAGATAATTGCAAAGAACATTTCTAACACCACAGTACTTATCATTCTAGTAATATAATCATCTCTACTGGAACTGACAGTTAAGTAAAAAATATGATAGATGGGAAATAAAGCAAATCCTTTCACAATATTTTCAAATAACTAAGTTAATATGAAAACTAAATTATTAACTAATACTAACTTCAAACAAGAGCTAGTAACTTTATGCTCCCCAAAAGAATTCTGATGAGTCTAATGAGGGAAAAAGTACTCATTTATATCAATTAATTATCCAATACATGAGTTTTTATAATCAGAAATATTTTTGAAACACAATCTCCTTCATTCCCTATTATTTCTGCTTGATAACTTATACTCTATCTACTAATATATAAGACAATGCAAAAAGCTAAAAGTTGAACATTTTCAAAAAAGCACAACTATTGCATATGTTAAATAATCTCAAGGATATTTTACTAATGTTACTTAATACTCTGCAGACCCTTTTCCAATGTAAAATGGCTTGGAATTTGAGATAAAAAAGATAAATTAGTGACCCTGCCATATCATAATACAATGAAAAAAATTAAGTTTAAGAAATGGTAGGGGTGGGGATTTAGCGGTTCGGTGTCCTGCCTTGCAAGTGCAAGGACCCGAGTTCAATCCCCGGTACCAAAAAAAAAAAAAAAAAAAA